CCGAAATCTAAAAAGTTTAGAACAGAATCAGCGAACTTCTTTGTATGGAGTCCGGTTAAATTCTGGTGGCAGCCATGTTTGTTTTTATTATTAGAGAACGCTTACGCGCGTAATAATTCCATATTTGGAATTCGCATTTCCTAATATGGTAGGATGAAAATACTCCGTAAAATACCGCAAAATTACGGCACGCTGTAACCTATGGCGTTACGGTGACAGATGTATAATAATATAGTGTATTTATAAAATGACAGTATAACTGATACGGATATTCTATGAACCAATTGGCACATCTCAGTATTTATGTTTGTCCGCTTTTCAGTGTTTTCCACCAGGCGGGTTGAAACAAAATACAAATACAATAACGTGTGTCCATACACACATGTACCTTCGCGTCACATGACTTCGTCATTGTTGAGAAAATGAGAGTTCTCACAGTTGGTGTGTGGACATTCTGAAACGAGTTGTAAACTTGTTGCCTGAGCTGTCGGCACTCTGGTCTCATATACCACGTTATAACTAGGTAACTGCTTATACCATGGTATCTAAAGAGACGACTATGATTGACATGTGTACACGATATGTTTTGTGTCTGTCTTCACAGAGAACCATCCAAGTTTGGTTTTAGAGAAAACAAATTTGTATATGAACGTCATTGTATAGCGATGATCGTTTCTCCGAGTATTTGAATATAGTCATTCTATGATAATTAAAAACGTGAAAATATTTCATAAACCATGACCAAGAGAATCATTCACCTTTTTCATATCTTCATATTTGAGAAATAATATGTTCTTATTATCCCGACAGCACTGCCACCACTCCAGCACGTGTGTAAACCAATCTCCGTACAATACTGTAGGTATAAAAATGTGGGAGCATGTATGTGACTATAACAGTGATTATATGCAATTCTTAACACTTGTTTTATTGGATCGAAGCTCGTTGACAACAGTTGTTGATATTTCTTTATACCATTTCATCCTGGTGGTGGAAGACATTCCAAATACACTATCCTAACGCATATCCAGATTTTATTTCAGCATCCTCCATGACGCCAAGGTACGATGCAAATAATGTATTACCCATTCGGATTTACGCAAACTCGCACACTATATTAAAATTCTCATTGGCTAGTTTAATTGCTACATGCGGGGCCTCCTTAAAATCACAGATCCCAGGATGATTGACGATGCATAACAGCGATGGGCGCAGGTTGTAAAGTCAGGGGCGCACGTGAACAGTGACCATTACCGCAGTGCATTGTGGGATAGTTTTGGACTACATATTTTGACAGTAGTTTAATTCAAACAATATCTTTAGTAATAAGTTAAAGGTAATATTATTATGATGCCTAGGCTACTTAATGGGATATTACTAGCTTCGTACCTAGGCGTTAGTAGTGTGAGGTATAGTGAGTGGGATGCTGCATATATTCTAGGCTACATAATGAGATATTACTAGCATCGTATCTAGGCGTTAGTAGAGTGAGGTATAGTGAGTGAGACGCTGCATATATTCTAGGCTACATAATGAGATATTACTAGCATCGTATCTAGGCGTTAGTGGAGTGAGGTATAGTTAGTGAGACGTTGCATATATTCTAGGCTACATAATGAGATATTACTCGTATCGCACCTAGGCGTTAGTGGAGTGAGGTATAGTGAGTGAGACGCTGCATATATTCTAGGCTACATAATGAGATATTACTAGCATCGTACCTAGGCATTAGTGGAGTGAGGTATAGTGAGTGGAGCGCTGCATATATTCTAGGCTACATAATGAGATATTACTAGCATCGTATCTAGGCGTTAGTAGAGTGAGGTATAGTGAGTGGGATGCTGCATATATTCTAGGCTACATAATGAGATATTACTAGCATCGCACCTAGGCGTTAGTGGAGTGAGGTATAGTGAGTGGGACGCTGCATATATTCTAGGCTACATAATGAGATATTACTAGCATCATACCTAGGCGTTAGTGGAGTGAGGTATAGTGAGTGAGACA